ATTTCAAGCTTCATTCCATGTGAGTGAGAGAGGTTTAACCTCCTCAAATTTGGCATTTTTCCATTTCCTTGGGTAATGGTGGGTTGATCAGGGAGGTGAGGATGCAGACTTATCGGGTAATATGGATCCAGTCACCTTTCCATGTGGTTATCCATTGAAACGATGCTCATCTACCTCTTGGTCCTCAGTCACTAAATGACCCTTTAGGATTGACTGCTGTCTTGGCACTTCCTTTCCTTCCATGGGCTACATCAATACTTATGGTGTTTTTCATGTTCTCTGTGCAGGTCCATCTATGTATAATCTACTTAGTGCCATGCAAATATCACACATCCTGCCAGGGGCTCAGTCCTGAAAGCAGTTGTAGGTGATTTCATCCTGTGATTTATCCTCTCCATTTCCTCAACCTCCCTTGTCTGGTAGAAGCCAGATTCTCTTCCTCTCTACCTCCTGAAGGTGGACTTGCTGTCAGATCTTTTTTTTTTTTTTTTTTTTTTGGTTTTTCGAGACAGGGTTTCTCTGTGGTTTTAGAACCTGTCCTGGAACTAGCTCTTGTAGACCAGGCTGGTCTCGAACTCACTGAGATCCGCCTGCCTCTGCCTCCCGAGTGCTGGGATTAAAGGCGTGCGCCACCACCGCCCGCTGTCAGGTCTTCTTTGTCCTTTGGAAGGTTTCTGCTTCTGAAGCCCACGCTTGAACCTCTTCTGTGGCTATACCTGTGGCAAGGCTAGACATGTGCATAAATGGAAGTGAGATGAGAGAAATACCCAATAAAAATATAAAGCACAGGGCTTCAGATCTCCAAGATACCCTCATCTTTAAGGATTAATGAAATAGTATAAGAAAGAACTTGATTCATTTCAAGGGCCCCTTGGCCGCTATTTTTTCCTCTGACCTAGTAAACAGGTTGTTTAGAAATGGATCATGTGCTGCCTTAGAAACCTCAGATTATCTTAGCAATCTAATTCTTATCTTTTAATTTACCTTAGTCGCTCTCTCTACTCACTATATATTCCCGAAGACCCTACTCCACAGCCTACAGTTACAGGAACCTAATATAAAACCTAATATAAAACTGGAAATGTTTTTGAAATGTTGATCTAGTCTAAGGATTCCAAAATGATGTCTGGAAACAAAGTTTTGATATTTTGTTCTTTTAAAATGATTCATGACCAAGTTTATTTTGAATTTTGACAGAGGAGCTGCGTGTCCCATGTAGACACCTTCAATGTTAAAAAGAAAAAATTTCAGTGTATCTATTATTTTTGATATTTTATATCACATCTAATACTGGGTAAAATGTGCTTCAAATTTTATGTGTGTCTCCCATTGCAAAATGCTAACTAATTTTCACTCCTAGAGACTTCTGATTCATAAACATAGTACAGCACAGACCTTGGATTCTTAAGTTGAAATACAGAACATGGTACCTTGGCATCCAAGCCTGTCACAGATATTGACATTTGAGATAGAGCCTTTGAGTGAGATGATGAGGTAGGATAGATGATAGATAGACAGAGTACTCAGATTTTAGGGATATACACTTTACAACTTCAAGCCTAAGTTTTATTGTATGTGAGTGCCTATATAATGAATGCCTGTCTCCAGGGCAGTTATGATGATTCAAGGAGATTATGTATGTTGAGATTGCACATGGTGTTGGATACACAGGTCACACCTAGTCAGTGATACTCATTGACTCTACTGATCAAAGGTTAGAGACAAGGCAGGAAATAGATGGCCATTTGGATAGCATCTCCATCATTGATGCTCAAGCCCTCATTCTCTTTTCTGTAGGTTAAAAAAAATCAATTCACAAGATTATAAGTCAGACATTTTATTACTATGACAAATACTAAAAATAAATAAATAAATGTGAAAATATAATTCTTATGTGCCAAAGTATTTATCTTGGCTCATGACTCCAGAGCCTTCAGCCCTGACCTGCCTGCCCCATTGTTTCTGGGCCATGGTAAGAGAGAGCATCCTGGAAGAAGTGTGAGGAGGAGCAGAGCTGTTCCTAAGACATCCAGGGAACAGAGAGAGTGACCTACATCTTCCAAAGAGGCCTCACCCTGTATGCTTCTGTGGCCTCCCCACAGTTTGAATAGTTTGAATCCCTCAGTGAAGGAGGTCAATGATTTGGTCAGAGCCCGCATCATTCAACCACCTTCTAAAAGCCCAACCTCCAAACATGTAGGACCCACTCTTCAATATGGGAGCCTTTTGGTTGGGTCACTTCACATCCAAGCCATAACACTAAGGCATGAACATGCAAATTTTTATGGAGGAGCATCAAGAACAGGAAACCTCAAACTGTCCTCCCATAGCCAGGTCCTTTGCAAGCCATTCACCAAAGTCCCATCTATTTGGAATTCCCTGGGAACCAAGCACTAAGAATGACTTGTTTTGCTTTCAAAGCAAAGAATCCTTATGCATCAAGGAAACAACCTATGAGACAAAATGGTTTAACGCATAAAGACAAATGGTTCCTATAGCAGAGAATATCCCAAAACACAGTGACGGGAAAGCCCGTTGGAGTCCTCCTTGCTCCCATGTGACTCTTCTCGCTCTGCCCTACATTCTGCATCGCCCTCATCACTCCTAGGCTAATGACCAGATGGCTTATGCAGTGTGGGTTTATTATATAAAGACAACAAGAGCTAATTGAAAACCTCCTGAGAGCAAAATAGAAGCTGTTATGTGTAAGCTACCAGTCATTTTTTCCATGGTGGTAGCTGAAATTTGGTCCCATGCATCTTCTTGGGTCTATAATTATGGCTTATTGAATGCCAGGTACTGATTGGCTTCATCTTCTTCCCTGGCCCCAGACCCACCCCCTGAATCCATCACTGGGGCAACAATGGTGTGACAGCTTAGACTCTCTCCCTGGAGCTTGCACCCATACCCAAAGCCTCAGGCCTGTCTTAGCAAGAAGGAAAGGGCGAGAGAGCCACAGTGCCCACGATGACTATGGTGGCATGCAGCACATCCTCCTCTTCAATCCGACAGGCAATTATAAAGCATCTGTTGTATGCCAGGCAGACTACAGCATGCCAGGAGGACACAAGAGGCTAAGTGTTCTTGAGAAGAATAAATGAGTCAACTTATGCACAGTGCCTGGTGCAACCCTCAGCCCCTAATACTTACTTGCTCAGTATTGTCTTCATTAAAATGAATAATGCATGAGTGATCTTTGCTATCCAGGAAAGAAAGGCTTAAACTAATAAATTATATCAACTTGCGACGAGCAAGCCTGCGGGTAGCATCAAGGAGAGAGATCGCATAAGGAGCATGCAAAAGGCCCAACCTGGAGAAGCTCACAGCTCAATGCTTCTTAACCTTGGCTTCACATCTGCTTTACCCAAGAAGCTTTTAAAAAAAAAAAAAAACCTCCCCATACCATTAAATCAAAATCTCCAGGGTATCACACGAAGGCCCAGGCACCAGTTTATCTTTTTAAAGATTCCCAGAGGATTAAAACTTGTAGCCAAGGTGGATGATAACAATTTAGGCTACCGAGGATAGCATCTGCGTGTAAACAATTCACTAGTAATTCCACATGAAAGCCGTAAAACCAACTAAAGTGATCCAGGCCCTACACCTAGAGCACAGTGGGTCTCAGGACAGGGACGGGGTTTGGGAAACAGGGACTCAGTAAGGTGTGAGGAGACAACAGTGACAGGGAATGAAAGAGGCCTTTGAAAGACTGTGAAATTTGCCTAACCTGGGTGACAGGGAGGTTGGGATGGGGTGAGCAAATGTAAGAGCAATGGAGCAGGCATGAGGGAGAACCCAGGCCAGCCCAGAGAGCCACGCAGTAGGTTATCAGGAGAGGTTCAATCGGCAGCACCTAAGGAGTTCCAATAGGAACGTCTACTACCCACAAGGCTTTGCTGGCACACCTGGCTCACCAAAGAGCAGCATGAGTGCCCCAGGTCCACTTAGCTGGAAAGCTGCCCTATAGGGTGTTGTAGTAGGAGCAGCAGGGCTGTGTCCCTGGCACCCTGGCTGCCTTGCTAGCTTATGCCCCGAAATAACAACACACAAACTGTATTCTTTTAAACACTGCCTGGCCCATTAGTTTCAGCCTCAACCCATTTCTAATAATCTATGTAGCACCACGAGGTGTGCTTACCAGGAAAGATTCAGCATGTCTGACCTGGTGGCTGACTGCATCGCCGTCTGCCTCAGCGAGCAGAGCTCTCACATCCGTCTGGGAGAGGGAAGCATGACGTCTCTCTGAGCTCACTTCCTCTTCCTCCCAGCATTCTGTTCTGTTTACTCCTCCCACCTATGTTTTAACCTATCAGGGCCAAGCAGTTTCTTTATTGCTTAACCAATGAAATCAACAGGTTGATATATGATACTCCCACATCAATGGGGAGCTGGGAAAGCTATTTACAGGGATGCCCAGCCTATTCTCAAGCCTCAGACAACATAAAGCACAGAAGCTTCGGGAGCTGCTGTGCTGAGACAGCCTACTAGCGCTAGGGGGCACTAATGTGTCCTACGAGTCATGGAGGCTCAAAGAGTTTTCAGAACCTCTCCTGGGAATGATCAAGATGGGGACTCAGTCTCTGTCCATCTTCTCTCCTCTCCGCATTCTGTTTGTTCTCTGAACAAAAAGCCAAGCAAGACCTGGGTTAGATCTGTCCATGCAGTCCATCCAAAGATGGTGGAGGGGGATTGGGATTAGTAAAGAGGCTAGGGAAGGCTGTCTGGGTGAGGTGGGTTATAAGAGAAACCTGGTTTAGAGAACAGCGGGGGAGATGGGCGTGGCTCCTGATGAAGCTGCATCTTGAGTACTTTGAACCTTGCATGGGCATGGTAACAGACCCCAGCTCCCATGGTGTTCAGCCCCTGCACACACAAACACACATTGGCTTGTTTCTATCCCTTAGAATTAAAGAACACATAGACAGTATGAGTGACCTTGGTTCCTGGTGCTTCCTACCTAGTCTCCTCAAGGCAGATGACAATATTTCTTGTTCTTACAGGAGGCGAAGTGGCCAAACCACGGTTTGCACAGTTTTTCCATGGCAGCCTTGCCAGCCTCACGATCCGTCCTGGAAAAATGGAAAGCCAGAAGGTGATTTCTTGTCTGCAAGCCTGCAAAGAAGGGCTGGATATTAATTCCTTGGAAAGCCTCGGGCAAGGAATAAAGGTAAGGAAGGCACTGATACCACCTCTGATAAGACACCGATTTAGGAGTAGAAAGTTACCCAACACCTGAGCATGCCAGGAACTAATTGTTTCCCAAGAAGCCTCCCAGAAATGGAACCTCGGTTAAGGTGTGATCACATTTTGCTGGAGACCAGTTAGTGGTCATGACTTCCAGGACGGACTTCTGCCGCCAGCTCCTGAAACTTCTAGATCTAGAATAGACAGACGACACCAGTCGCGTCTTCCTGGAGGGGGGTAAGAAACTTCATTTGTCTGCAGATTGTTTGCTACTTTGCTATTCATTTGCCTAAAGGCGCTAAAGTGGCATGCAGGAATACATTTCAGAAACATAAAATGTAAACAAAGAATTAGGACTCTGAAACACAAATGAGACAGGAGAGAGACGACAGACGTGAGGTAGAATTGGAAAGCAGATATGACAGTCACTAGGTCTTACATTGTTAAAGTAAAGCCAGGTCCCCTTCAAGCAATATCTGGAAGTCACAAGAAAGATGAAAATGTGCGGTTTTTATTGCCTATGTAAAACCAAAATATGCAAGTGATTCATCAAATCAGAGCTGTGTTCTTAGAAAAGCATCTCTCAGAAGGCAGGGGAGAGACAGCTGTGGCCCCAGCAAGCTTTACTTGGATAGGTAAGGTTACCTTCTGGTCTCACCTAGATATAAGAGGCTCTAGCTGGTCCTGGACCCCTGAGTTCTGAATAAAAAGCAGGGTCAGTCCCATTGAAGACCCTGATGAATCATGGCAGGCCCCAATGTGAGAAAGTGCGTCCCTAGCTCTTTTCTGGAAGTCAGGATGGCCTACCCTCTGCGTCCTGAAGACCAGGAAAGCTCCTGGAGTGCCCAGAAGCCATAGTACTTCCCCTTGGCTATTTCCCAAGGGAAAGTGATAATAGCCGAGAATCTCTATTTGCTGTCCATCTGTCTCCAGTCTATCATGGGCCTGCCTTGTCATATACCATGGGCCTGGTAGCCAGGGACTCACTTTCCAGCAGAACCTACTCCTAACGTAACAAGGGTCTAACACTTGAGGACTCTGGCCCTGGATTTGCAAGCAGGGCCTGCTGGTCTGAGCACCTGTGGCATTCATTAAAATGTGATCACTTCAGTAAACATATCATGCTGCTGTTATGGGCATGGTTCTACCATACAAAGGTGGATGATCTCAGCTTGTTGTCTTTAGATACTTCAGTAGCTCTAACGGTCAATAAACCTGTTTGGGTACCACTACATTGACGGTGAGCACTGACATTCCCCAAGGGCTCTAAGAGGCAGACATTGCTTGTTCTAAATGCTTTCTGGCCATCCCTCTTTGTAATATCCCTTCCCATTGATAAAAGTACTGTGTTGTTCTGATATTGAGAACTGAAGGATAAAGGATGTTCAAGAAACATCCTGAAGTTAGTGATGGGCTGATCCAGAATCTGAATCTAGGCAGCCCCACACTATAGCTTCAGATTCAGGGTGAATGGCCTTCAGGGAAGGCTCCCCAGAGGAGGGGAAGCCTGAGGAGAATGTGTAATATCAGGTAGGAGTCCTCCCAGTAAAGGAAGGGAAATAGCGAGCAGACACTCCAAGACCATCTGGGAATTTGAGCGGTAGCAAAGGAGCATGGCAGAAATGCACAGGAACCTCGGGGCCGGTGTTGTAAGCGCCCAAATAGTAGCACAAAAGTGGGACCAAGGAGCTAGATGAAGACCATATCATGGACTCCTAGATCCATTTAGATGTATTTTGTTTCCTGTCAACTACGAGGAGCCATTGAAGGCTCAAATAAGAGAAAATAATCTTGGCCTGCAGGGTTTACGATCCCTACCCTAGACACTGGGTCAGAAGGGGAAGACAGAATACAGAAGGCATGGTTAGGAAGGATTGAATTCCCAGATACTGTTTACCAACCATGGCTTTGACACACACAAGCTCATACACGCATGTTAATCGCATGTCCCAAAGAAAGCTGATCTGATTAGCATGTGTTATTTCCTTGGCATATTGTCCACACAGTGCTACAGAAATCTAGCCTCCAACCCTCTCTTTTTCACACTCCGACTCACTGCCTGCCTATAAATGCAGCCTCTTCCTTGAACCATTCCCAAGAGCCACCGTTGCAGAGTTCCAGGCTTGACGGAGGAAAAAAAAAAAAAAAAAACCAAAGATGCTAGACTTAACAACCAGGCATTTTGTGAATAATAAATTAAGAACCAAAGTGATTTCTAATGAGTAGTCATAGCCTGTGGAAAGAAAAGTGCTAAGCTAAGTGTCACACAAATAGAGGGGTTTGGGGAAGCCATTTGGCATCCCACCGGCTCATACCCAAGTCACTACAAATGGTCCTTTCCCATCCCTAAGGCCTGACTTGTGAGAGCACGAGGTCTGCGAGAGAAGTTAATAAGACACTCAGTTTACAGAGCGCTCACTGGGGGCTATTTTATGTTCATTGTCTCTACCCCTCAAAACAAATTAAAGATTATGACCTCATTTCAAAAGCAAGGGGACTGGGGCTTAGGGACTTGTCCAAAGTAAGTCGTTGCCTCTTTCCTCCACACCAGCAACTCTGATTAAAAGATGGCCTTGACCATTATTAAAACTAACTTCCTTCAGACCCTGCATGTCTCCTGTCCATCATTGCTGAATGACTACCATTTGGTTTGCCAGTGACTAGCCGTGTGCTGTGTGATTGACTTATAAAGAAGCAAGACATCACTTGCTGAAGGGACTTCTCCATGGATATGGTCTAGCACCAGCTCTTTGTTCAGCTTATCTTCCTGTGGATCGTGCATATTTCTGGATACTTCTGGAGGATATTTCAATCTCCACAGGGTTGTGGTGTTTGTTGCCTTGTGCACATGCAAGATACCACTGAATAGTCACATTCTGGAAGAGTATCCTGTTCTGATTTTCACAGCACCATCTTTGCCACCCTCACCTTCACAGTGTGGGAGAGCATGAAAGAATAGTGACCTTAGCGCCAGACACTCCTATGTTCTCAGCACCAGTATTTTTATAATTTATTTATTTACTCCCTTGGTGACCCTGGGCAAGATATTTCAACACCCAAAGCCCCACCCCCCAAGTACAAAAGGAATTAATACTATGTATCTTTTAGCAATATAGATAATACATTTCTGTAGCAAACCTAATAGGTTCTTGGCAAATCACAGGTCCTTTTGAGGCACAGGGGACCTTTCTGCTAATTTACTTATGTATCTGGAGGAGGATGCATGCCATGATACTCATGCGGAAGTCAGAGGACAACTTACGGGATCCAGTTTTCACCCTTCTGCCATGTGGGTCTCAGGGATTACAATTCAAATTGTCAGGCTTGGTGGCAAAGGCCTTTACCCTCTGAGCCATTTGGTTCAGATGAAAGAGGATTGCAGGTGGTAGTTGGCCAGGGAATGGCAAAGTGCCCCACAAGCCATAGCCAACCTGATGCTGAGGCAAGGGAGCTCAGGTCTTGGATAGGAATTTTATTGATAGTCCAGCCTGCAAGGAAACTGAAGAAACCAGGTGAGTGTCTGGGAGAAGTGGCCGTTCTGGAAGGTTATCTTTCTACCATCTTCCTGGCTTACTATGATCATAACACAGATTCCCAAGGAACTATGGGCTCTGTTTGCCACTATGATTGTGCCAGTACAAACATGTTTACCACATTACTACAGACATATCCCTAGAGCATGAAATACTGCAGCTAGAAAAATATGAGAACCTATGAAGACTTTTATTGATCCTGCAAGAACTATATTGGCCACTGGGCCAGTGTCCATCTTCATGCTCTGTGGTTAGAAGTTCTCGGGCCTGAACTGGGTATTAACTGGAAATCCAGCCCATTGGCTAGCCTGTGCTTTTGCTAGGATTCAGTGGAGACCTGTGCTCTGTCAATTGCCAAGAAATGCTGTCAGGTCATTCTTCTCGAACAATGTGTCTCAACCTGTGGGCCATGACCCCTTTGGGATGGAATGACTCTTTCACAGGGGTCACCTATGACCATTGGAAAACACAGATATTTACATTATGATTCATAACGGTAGTAAAATTACGTTTATGAAGTAGCAACAATAATGATTTGATGGTTGGGGCTCACCACAACATTAGGAGCTGTATTAAAGGGTCGCAGCATCAGGACAGTTGATAACCACTGCTCTCCACGAACCTCTCGATCTTCCTATTCAGTCTTATGCCAGGCTCAAACTTCAGCCATCTCTGTAGTGCTAACCATCTTCTTTGTATGATTGCCACTCTAGACCCTGTGGGAAAGCTGAGGTAAGCTAGTAACCAGGCCCTTGAGGGTCTCACACAGACAGTGGCACCATGCAGAGGAGCAGGCCAGAATTCTCAGTAGTGTTTTTGGAAGGATAACCTTAAATCTTTTCAGATCTAAAATGGATGACTCATAAACATGTTTCAGATCTGTACAGGACCCACTGGTGTGTGGTGGCTTCAGAGATGAGCATCCTGATTGGAAGATACATCCGTACATAGAGACACACACAGTGATTAGCTGTGTAATGGTGGTTTGAGGCTAACCCCAGTGGCTGGCTGTGGAATAGTGGTTAGAGACATTCAGTGGCTGTCTGTGGAATATCTACCTGGGACGTCCTGAATCTAAAGCAGGGAAGCTGTGCTCATGGACAGAGGTCACAACTCAGAGGGACCCTACCCAGGACTTTGAAGGGACAGGGAAGAGTTAGACCATGGGGAAGGAAAGGCAACAAAGGTACAGTGGTCTCAAGAGCAAAGACTCAACAAAGGTAGACTTACTACAGCACTGGCGTTCCTATATTGAATGCTTTTTAAATACTAGAAAGGTGGGCCTCTTTAATCTACTGTTCTGAAATACAAAATTTCGTAAGCACTGATATGAAACATGTGAAAAGTTGCAGCTAGTCTCCTGTGACAGACCACAGTCAAACCACAGGCACATAAAAAATATTACATACAATTACCTGAAGACTGAGTATATATGATATATATGAACCATAAATGAATTTTATGTAAGATTTAGGCTCCAGCCCTAAAACACCTCATTACGTCTATGTCCAAATATTTCACATCTAAACAAAGCATCCCAAACACTTCTGGCCCCAAGTATCTCATTTGCAATATACTCATCCTGTATGTTATCTCATTTAAACTTGTGGTCTCTCAGCTATGCTGCATAAGAGAAGAATCATGACTGGGAAGGGCTGACTTCATCCCCCAGATAGGTTGACCTATGGTGGTAGTAACTCTACAATTCAGTGGACTGGACACATAGAAATGTTTTCCTCTTACATAAGTAGAGGGGATGAGGTAGAGTAACTAGGTAGAGGCTGAAGGTCATTGAAGTGGAGGGGACAGACTAGAGAACTGCATAGGGCAGTTCCCTGCCCTGGTCCAGGACATCCAACCTCCTTTCTCCTTTGTCTCATTGGTCAGGTGTGGTCACATGACCTTAAAACACATGGCACAAGGGAGGTAGGAATTGCTATTTCTACAGTTCTTAGGAAAGGGAGAGAGCAGAGTTTGGTGCTGTAATGATGAGCTTGCTGAAAAGGACTAGAAGATCCTGTGGGGACCGACAGGAGATGGTGCTGAGTAAATGGAAGCTTGAGGAACCATCCAGTCATCGGTCCATCAGGAACCATTCATTTGTCCATCTAACAGTCCTCAGATCACTGGAGCTAGCTTCTGGGATCATGGATCAGTAGGGTCCCTGTGATCAGTGAACAGAGCCCTCATCAGTATACCCTGTAACCATGCTACTATTTTGTAAGTGTTATCAGGAAGAAAAAATATACAATCCCATTGAGACCTAAATGAAGACAGCTAGGTGCTTCAAGGAGTAGGCAGAAATAAAAGACTTATATAGTAAGTAAAGGAAACAAAGGAAGTCCCATCAGTTGACTAGGAGCACCATGCCAGTGACTCCCAACAATGGCACACAGAACAAGAGTATTGCTGTAAAGACGTTTTGGTCAGATCAGGGTAAAGTAAACAGATATTCTTCTTAAACCCATGAAAATATACATTCAACTTCCCATGTAGTAAGAGAAATATGAAAGAAAACCAGAGAAATTTGGCATTGTCACCTGTCTGTCTGACTGAGTTCCCAAAGACTAACAGCATAGAAATAGATGGGCTTAGAGAAGAGATACTTACATTCTGCTGTGAGGTGTGTGTGTGTGTGTGTGTGTGTGTGTGTGTGTGTGTGTGTGTGTGTGTTATCAGAAATTTGCCAGCATGGACAAGGAGCATGTACTACTCCCTAGTGAGGTGGAGACCATAACTGCTTCATCATCTTCCCATGTTCTGGGGATGACCAAGGCGGCCTTAGTGGCTTCTTTGCGGAGTTGCAGTTTTCAGAGCGCCGTGCCTATCATTGACCATCTTTCCTGTGATGCCCACTTCTGTCTTCCAGTATCACTTCAACCCTTCACAGTCCGTCCTCGTGATGGAAGGTGATGACATTGGGAACATCAACCGAGCCCTCCAGAAGGTGTCCTACATCAACTCCAGGCAGTTCCCAACAGCAGGGGTCCGGCGCCTCAGACTCTCTTCCAAAGTCCAGTGAGTGACAGCCAAGCAGCCTAGGCCCAGCTGAGGCTGAGGCAGTGGTCCCTTGGGAATATTCCTTTGCAGGCAGGGCTTCTCTTACCCTACTTTTCTCAACTCTGCTGTCCATGGGAGATGCTTCAGGGACCTGCGATCTCCTTTTGCTTTCTTAAGGAAAACGTTAGGTAGTGTCACCAATTCAAACCTACCTTTCTGTATTTTATCCCACAACTAATCTGATGCCTAGAAAGGCCTGATTTCTATACATTCTCCAACAGCTAGGTCTAAAATGGTCTGGTATAAGGGCATAGCACCTAGCACATGGTAGGTGCTTGACAATATTTATTAAATTTGATTAACTTAACTAACTTTGCTTTGTAGAATTCTTAAATACTATGGGCAAGCCAGAGAAAGAGAAAGCATGGTTCTTGTCCCCAGGGAGCAGAGTTCAATTAAGAAAATGAGATTACTGAAGTCTTTGATAGTTTACTTGAAGCGTTGATACATCACTTCCCAGACATGGCAGCTACTTGAGATGACTGCTAGGTAAGGGTCCGCAGGGAGACTCTCAGGAGATGGAAATATAGTCATAGATGGAAATATAGTCACTAAGCAACTGGGCTAGAAAAGCTCAAGGGAAAGGACCACAGGGATGGGTCTGCTGACCTGCATTTCTGGACCTGGAAGAGATGCCAGCAGCGGGAAGCAACGCTCAGCAGAGGGATGAAAATGTGTCCCTACTCAAGAGGCTAAGGTTAGGTGTAGGCACCACTGAGTCAGCTCCAATGTCAGTAAAGAAGAGGGAAGAAACTGCCCAGAGTCCGTCACTGAGACCTGCTGTCCACTGCGAGGATTGGGAGCCCATTGGGTAGGCAGGGCAAAGGTAACAGGAAGCTGGGCTGGGAACCTGCGGTAGCTCCCAAACTCAGCATCTAACCTAGAGTGTGGAAGAGATGAAAACTCCATCTCCTCAGGGGACTTACACAAACTACCCTTCCTTCTTCCCCTGGGGACCTTCTCTCAGCATACAGGATGATGGCTGCCTCTATGGGGATCGAGCCTAAATGCCTAGAACACACAATTGGTCTAGGCAGTCCTCACTGGTTTTGCCCAAGTCTTTGGAGTCAATGATAATGGAGAGTATCGATGATTTGTAGGCTTCAGTGAACCTAATGAGAAAGCTTAGACTTTACTGGATTCAAATCAGGATGCAAGCTCTGGGCAGCAGCTGTTTTGAGGGTCTTTTTAACTAGCCAATACTAATACAGGGTGATCATTGCTCTCCCGATTGTATTGTGTGGATAAGAAGCTAAAGTACAAAGCAATGAACTACCTAGCCAGGAGTGGCCAAGCAGGGCATGGATCCTCGTCTATCACCCTTCCAAACCTTACCAGACGCTTGCGTAGCAGTGCACTAGGGTAAATTAATATAACTGCTTTAGCCTGCCCTCACCCATAGAAGAGGTGCGCCCCTGTGATACCACCACAGACAGAACACAAGCATATTTTATTTATTTATTTATTTATTTATTTATTAAAGATTTCTGTCTTCTCCCCGCCACCGCCTCCCATTTCCTTCCCCCTCCCCCAATCAACTCCCCCTCTCTCATTAGCCCAAAGAGTAGTCAGGGTTCCCTGCCCTGTGGGGAGTCCAAGGACCACTCACCTCCTTCCAGGTCTAGTAAGGTGAACATCCAAACAGCCTAGGCTCCCACAAAGCCAGTACGTGCAGTAGGATCAAAACCCAGTGCCAATGTTCTTGACTTCTCAGCAGTCCTCATTGTCTGCTATGTTCAGCGAGTCCAGTTTTATCCCATGCTTTTTCAGATCCAGTCCAGCTGGCCTTGGTGAGTTCCCGATAGAACATCCCCATTGTCTCAGTGTGTGGGTGCACCCCTCGCGGTCCTGAGTTCCTTGCTCGAGAACACAAGCATATTTACAGCAGGAGAATTTAGCCCTGGGCTCTCATCTTATAAAATGGCCATAGCCAACCAGGCAACAATTCCCTTACCAAATCCTAATGTACAAAAGCAAACAGTTGCTTTCTAATTAATGTTACTTTGCTAAAAGATAATGAAAGCTTTAATGGCAACTTGTTGCTAGTATTGAAAAGTCCCATCCCTTCCAGGAGCCAGTCTTTTACATCCCTGCATTGTTAATGGTTGGGGGTATAAATGTGGCTTTACATGTGAAGGTCTGCTGCCACCCTCAGAGATCCCTAACATCCAGGACACCTTGACAAGGACAGGAGGTGGCAGTCATTGCCCACGGCTCTGGAGCAGATGGTTTAAATCATCAGCTGACCAGGGCCATGACTGGAGATGTCTTTCCAGGTGCTTTGGGGAAGATGTGTGCATCAGCATCCCAGATGTGGATGCCTACATCATGGTCCTGCAGGCCATCGAGCCCCAGATTACCCTCCAGGGAACAGAGCGCTTCTGGAGACCAGCTGCCCAGTTTGAAAGTGCCAGAGGAGTGACTCTCTTCCCTGACATCAAGATCGTGAGCAGCTTTGCCAAAACGGAAGCCTCCGGGGACACGAGAGCCACAGGCACAGGTGCACATGGGACCGCGGGAGGGTGGAGTATAATGATATACATCAGGATAACCACACTTCTCACCCACGGCAGGATGATGTATAACAGGAAAGATCAAACAAAGCTAAAAACACTCAGATGATGAGCAGGAAAGGGACAGGCAACTCACCAGAGTGTAGCACACCCATGTTAGTGTCAGGAAGCAAGAAGGAATACACTTGTGCTACATGGTAAGTGAGAAGTGACAAGAAGACTTAGCAGTACCCATGTAGCATGATCAGAGCCATGTAAGAAAGAGATGCCCAGAAGAAAAGATACTTGATGCTAACACAGGGTCCCCTAAGAAGCACGGAGAGAGACGATTTACCTTCCCTTTTCTGTGACTGCAAAAATGCCCTGAAGTGGGTTTGTGTTTTTCCGATCACTAGAAGAAGTGCTAAGGGTGTGCAAAGGATAGAGCCCGGCTCCGCATTTCCATATACACTGCACAAGGCAATATGACTGAGCTCTCAGGGAACTCCCGGGTTGTAATTCCCACCAGTTTCATTATTAGGGCTGTTGCTGAGGGAAGGATTAGTTTCCATTCTCTGCTTGGGAGAAACACTCCATTACACAGAAAGCAAGAGCATATGCTGGATGCAGACAAAAGGAAAGAAGCCCACAGAGAGAGTGTGCAGAGAGGAAGGAAGGGAGCCTTCCTTTTGCAACTCAGAGAGACTCAGCATCACGAGGCAATGCTTGTCTGAGAACAGTCCTTCAAAGCCTCCTCCAGAAGCACAGTTTCAAGCCCCTCCCCGATCCAAAGCCGCTGCTAATGATGTGTTGGTACCAGTAGGCCTGAGTCCCTGAAGAGCTGCTTCTATAATAATCCCAATTACCCACCGTCTTAAACCACACTGGTCCTCCGTGAATAGGTTCTCAAGGGGCAGACCTCCTGAACGCCTAAAAATAGTTGGTATTTCACACCTGGCCAGCCAGGGTGGTTTCTGAGTTACATGCCATGGTGCATTAAGTCAGGTGACCCTTCCCTCCTCTGTTGTACTCATTTGTGGCTAAAATCGGACTGAGAAAAGGAAGGCCTGCTGACTTCAGTGGTCACAGCCCAAGAGCATTGAGCTTTGCCGCAGCTGATACCCGCACACAGCCAATGCGGGGGAAAGCAGTTAACTGGGTCCACACTTCACCTCCTATTTATGAGAGATGCAGGCAGAGCGCACAGCCCAGTGCCCGAGAGCTATTATTAGAACTTCTAAATTTCTACACTTACTGTTGAAATAGTCATTTTTACGAGACTCTTAAATGAGCAGGCCAACTGCATTTGCTACCAGGCCACAGTGACAGGTTCCAGGGTCATCTTCTGCCCCCCACTGGCATATATGCACATATACTCACGGCCATTCCTATTTATGCAGGAGCACACAGCTACATACTCAATACCCCAACACATGTATGTTTCCATGCTTCTGTCTACTTGGCTCCCTTGTACCCATCTCTCTTCTGACCCCTGCTATCGACTGTTTGCAACGATCTCATTCAACACAACTTCTGAAATGTTCTGCTCATCACCACCCTGACTCCCAGCCTGAGATGCCAAAGGCTTGGGCTTCCCTCTAGCTCTCTTTAGTAGAGTTAGCTCTTGGTGGTGCATTACCTGTTTGTTCAACCAGACCAGCAGATCCTGGAGGGCTCGGTCATGAATGATTCCACTCAGGGCTCCTAACCCAGCAGTCCCTTTGACACAGTGGACCCAGGAACGAAGGGATAGAAGAAGATAATGCCGTAGGGAAATAACCATGAGGTAGCAACCAGGACACACACCTGCCTAGTGCGACTCTAGCCAGTTGTATTATGAGGAAGGTGACCTAAGTCCACCTGAAAGGAAGCTAGAAAACACCTGGCAGAGATTTGCAATTGCACATTCACTTCTGCTAACAATTGACCTCAGTGTTAATGTAAATTATTGTGCTTTTGTATATTGCTAGTAGCACAAGGAACCATTGTGGTTGGCTAAGAGTAAAAACTTAGGCATGCAGAAACTCTAATAATATGTAGCTAATGAGAACAAAACTATTTTAGGTACCACTGGAATTTTTTAATGAAAATAATTGCCTTGTCCTTTGAATGTCTTTTTAAACATTTGCATTGTTATAGATACCAATAATATTTGAAGATGTAGCCTTAGAAGTTACAAGTTTCCAAGTTATAGGGCCAGAACAGCACACTCTATCACATACTCTCTATGTGACTTTGGGCAACTACCCCCCTCCACTTCTTTGAGCATCTATGCCCCCAGTGATGGACTGTGGATAGTACTAGTGTCTATTATCCTTGCACTGTGCCTGGCACACAGCATCCATTCCATAAGTAGCCAACACCTTTGTCTTTAAATGGGGTTTTTAGTTAAGACTGCCAAATTGTCTAGCATTCCAATACATGGATATTTCCTGCAGAAATTTGGAGTCATAAAATCAGGCAAGGACCACCATACTGACCAGCTTGCTAATGGGCTCCTGTGAGAGCATATGAACTAATCAATTTGCTCTAATTTATTAATTATTAATTAACTTTTGCTTATATCTTGTGGAATCCAGTGATGATTAATGAACAAGCCATTTCTGTTTGAGTAAAGCATAGAGGCTGCTTCATGGCAGTTCCTGTGCCAGATTCTAAATAAGTTTCTTCCCTTGAGATCCTCGGAGCCTGGTGTGGACATACACACTCATGCGTGCACGCTCTAGAGTGCATGTATGCATGTGCATGCACATGTGTGCATGCAGACGCACACACACACACACACACACACACACACACACACTCCACATGGAAAAAGCACACGAGTCTGATGAAGAGCCACTTAGTTCTTCCCCAATGCAAACTGTGGCTATGACCTATAATGCCCCCCCCCAATGAGGAAACTGAGTAGTATATGGCTCCTCAGAGACACATGCCTTCTCCCCACTAACTCATGCCACCTTCTTGAAGATGCCCTGATGCTTGAGTAATGGGTGTGGCTAACAGGGTTGCATGCCCCCTCCTCCTGATCCACCTAGATGTGCAAGCAGTAACAGAGGAGGTGCCAAGGTGAGCAAGAGCTCTCAATGCTGGTGTTTCTCATGCACCCTCCTTCCTGCAGCCCCCAAATCGTCAGTCTTGGAAGAAATGCTACACAACTTGGATTTCTGTGACATTTTGGTACTTGGAGGGGACCTGGATCCGAGACATGAGTGCTTGGAGCTCAACCACAGTGAGCTTCACCAACAACACCTAGATGCCACTAACTCTACGGCAGGCTACTCCATCTATGGTAAGGTCCCACACAGCCCCTCTGCTCAGTGTTGTGTCCTCAACCACAGTGAGCTTCACCAATGACACCTAGATGCCACTATCTCTACAGCCAGCTACTCTATCTATTTATGGTAAGGTCCCACACCCCCTCTGCTCAGTGGTGTCCTCTCAGAACAGTCTTGTCAAGGGACACTGACTATCGTAGCATCTGGGGTTGGGGTGTATCGTGCAGTCCTAGGGGTCAAGTGGAAATTCTTATGTTTCTAGTCTTTACTTTCTAGAGTAACTCCCCCCTCTGGGAAAACTGTACCTTATCCTTATTCTTTGGGAATCTGTAGAAACTGAGAGGGGGACTTTACTTTTTGATCCCAGAAAATGCCTCAGCTACGTTTGACAGACTGGGGCCAAACATTCCAGTCATAGACTAGTCTACATGGAAACTCTTTGAATTGGTTTCATCTTTGAAGCTTCTGCTTCTGCTCCTTTCCCACCCATAAGTGCTCTGACTTTTACCCTGGATTCACAGCCCTGACAGCATCAGTCTGTCTCCTATGCCTACAGTTCCCCCTTCTCTTTTCCCTCCTGACAGTAGGTATGGTCTCTTTGTGCAGGTGTAGGGTCCATGAGCCGCTACGAGCAAGTGCTGCACCATCTCCATTACCGCAACTGGCATCCCACTTCCCTTGAGACCCGGAGGTTCCGGATCAAGTGTTCAGAACTCAATGGGCGTTACACTAGCAATGAGTTCAACCTGGAGGTGAGTGTATCCTGCCATTGTTAGGGGAGGCCGGACCCACCTGCACGCTCCCTCATTCATTCAGAGAACTATCTCAACCTCCTGCTTGCATCTCTCCTTGCTCTTCCCAGGTCAGTGTCCTCCATGAAGTCAGAGTCTCTGATAAGGAGCACGTCAACCACCTTGTTGTGCAGCCTCCCTTCCTCCAGTCTGTCCATCACCCTGAGTCCCGGACTAGTATCCAACGCAGCTCAGGTAGGACATTCGATGGCAATTCAGACAGTCACTGAGCAGACAGTTATATTGTAGCACCCAAAGGTGCTCGGAGCTGAGGAAGGGACTCCTGCTGTGGGGAAACTACAAACCCTCTCTCTGAACACATCTGCTTTCAACAGGGAGTCAACCAACTAAGCAAGGAGTTTCATGCAACCCGTAATGACAGAGATTGGTACAAAGGGCTGAGACGTTATGTTAGTCATTTCAGGCCCAACTCAACAGCTTTCCATGAACCGCTTCCACACTTAGCACATTCAAAGTCATCTGCCCATGCCTTTGCTTGAGCGCTTGCTGTATTGTGTCACCGTCGGGTCGCACACATATTCCTACTAAATTTTATAGTGCCTAACTCAGAGGAAACTTCCATACAATTTGAGGAGAAAAGCCATGAGTAAAAGAGAATCTACATTTATTGAATGCCTACTGTGTGCCTCTGTAGACGCTCACAGAGATTATCTTCCTTACTCTTCACAATTACCATAGCAGAGTGGGTGTAACATCTAACACACATGGATGAAAGTATATCCCAGGCATAGTGAGGTAAGGCCCCAGAAACCTACGACTGAGAAACTGGAGGGAAGATTTTATTGTGAACACAGATGTCTTGTCCTTTGGAAGAATGAGTGATCGCTTTGATCATCATGTTATTTGGGTTCCTTTTTTGTTTCAGTGGTCCCGAGCATCGCCACAGTGGTCATCATTATCTCCGTGTGCATGCTGGTGTTCGTTGTGGCCATGGGTGTCTACCGAGTTCGAATTGCCCACCAGCATTTTCTCCAAGAGACTGAGGCCGCCAAAGAAGCTGAGATGGATTGGGATGACTCGGCCCTGACGATCACAGTCAATCCTATGGAGGTGATGCTCTCTGGAATGTGGGCTTGGGGTGGGGGTGGGAGCTTCTCCTGCTAATTGACTGGGCTCGTCTTCTGCCCCGATCCCGGATCCAGACTCCTCCTAGTCTAATGAGTCCCATTTCCGGTGATTCTCTTTTTTTTTTTTTATTTTTTTTATATAATAATTTACTACAAGTTTCCACCTCCTCCCAGCCTCCCATTTCCCTTCCCCTCCTCCCACCCTTCTCCCCCTCCTCCCACCCTTCTACCCCTCCCCCCACTCCTCTCCCCCTCCCTCTCCAGTCCACAGAGCAGTCCAGGTTCCCTGCCCTGTGGTAAGTCCTAGGTCCTCCCCCCTCCGTCCATATCTAGGAAGGTGAACATCCAAACTGGCTAGGCTTCCACAAAGCCAGCACATTAAGTAGGATCAAAACCCCGTGCCATTGTCCTTGGCGTCTCATCAGCCCTCATTGTTCGCCATGTTCAGAGAGTCCGGTTTTATCCCATGCTTTTTCGGTCACAGTCCAGCTGGCCTTGGTGAGCTCCCAGTAGATCAGCTCCACTGTCTCAGTGGGTGGGTGCACGCCTCGTGGTCCCGACTTCTTTGCTCATGTTCTCCCTCCTTCTGCTCCTCATTGGGACCTTGGGAGCTCAGTCCAGTGCTCCAGTGTGGGTCTCTGTCTCTGTCTCCATCCATCACCAGATGAAGGTTCTATGATGATATGCAAGATATTCGTCAGTATTGCTCTCGGATAGGGTCATTTCAGGTTCCCAATCCTCAGCTACCCAAGGAACTAACTGGGAACCTCATGTTGGGCACTTGGGAGCCCCTCTAGGGTCAAATCTCTTGCTCACCCTAAAGTGGTTCCCTTAACTAAGAATTGTGGTTCCGTGCTCCCCTATCCACCTTTCCTTTATCCCAATTCTCCTGATTCCCCAAGTCCCCCCTCCTTCCCTTCTACCTTTTCTCTCCCCATCTCCCCTTACCCCCATCCCACCCCACCCCCAAGATCCTAATTTTCTCCCCGGCAATTGGGTCTACTTCCCTTAGCCAAGAGGATAACTATATGTTTTTCCTTGGGTTCACCTTCTTACTTAGCTTCTTTAGGTTCACCTATTGTAGACTCCGCGGCCCTAATTTATGGCTAGAAACCAATTATGAGCGAGTACATCCCATGTTCATCTTTTTGGGTCTGGGACACCTCACTCAGGATAGTGTTTTCTATTTCCATCCATTTGCCTGCAAAATTCGAGAAGTCATTGTTTTTTACCGCAGCGTAGTACTCTAGCGTGTATATATTCCATACTTTCTTCATCCATTCTTCCATTGAAGGGCATCTAGGTTGTTTCCAGGTTCTGGCTATTACAAATAATACTGCTATGAACATAGTTGAACAAATGCTTTTGTCATATGATAGAGCATCTCTTGGGTATATTCCCAGGAGTGGTATTGCTGGGTCCAGGGGTAAGTTGATCCCGAATTTCCTGAGAAACCGAAACACTGACTTCCACAGTGGATGGTAATGCCTCCAGAAGATCCTTTATTGTATAGGATTGTTTTGGCTATCCTGGGTTTTTTGTTTTTCCATATAAAGTTGATTATTGTCCTCTCAAGATCTGTGAAGAATTTTGATGGGATCTTGATGGGGATTGCATTGAATCTATAAATAGCCTTTGGTAGAATTGCCATTTTTACTATGTTGATCCTCCCAATCCAAGAGCAAGGGAGGTCCATCCATTTCCGGTGATTCTCTTATCTCTGCTTCTTCAGTCCTCTCGACATGAGCAAGCCCTATTTCCCTATGATCTGTGTTCTCTAATTTATAATGTGCCATCTTTCTTATCCCACAAACATAGCTAGAATTTTCTTAAAGCAAGTAGTCGTTCAGTGTCTATTCCTCTCCCCCACTGTCGTTCAGAGCTGACGAACACTCAGGAATTTAATATTGAACTCTTGATTAGCTAACAGTGCAAATTAGGTGGCCTACAGAGCTCACTTACAGGCTTGGAATAAGTTAAAACAAAAGCTCAGCAACAACACCTGCCATTTAATAAGGGCCCCTTTAGCTAGACACTGCACCAGATGGTCTGTATACCTAAGCACCATGTGAAGTGGAAAGCATCACCCTCATTTACCAAGGTGGGAGCTGAGAGAAGAGTGGTGCCATGTTCAAATGCATGCAGCCAGCATTCAAAGTCAAGGCAGTACAATTCTGAAGCTCCCTGGATTTCGGTTGTCCAGGAGCCCCCAGAAGCCATCTATGACCATGTGAGGGGGCTGGTCTATATATCTTCCTATCATTCCTTTGGCACACAGATGCCGAGTCTGGAAGACACAAGCCCAGAGAAAGTCATAGGGAAATAATAGAGATGATCGTTGCTGACTGGTTCCAGTTCTACTCGCAGCTCATCCCCTGCTCCTGTTTCACGGCCAGCATGGCACAATTTCTTTAAGTATGCACTTCCATCCTCAAAGAGACTAACTTTAAGTGTAAGAAGCAGGAGCAATCTGAGGAGCAAACAGTGTGCCTCAAAGGGGCAGACCCAGTCAGGCCAGCTCTTGCTGAAGCTCTACTGTGTAGACTCTTGGGGGCCTGCCATTCATCAAAATAGCTATCATTAGGGGACACTAATGTAAGGAAAACCTCGTAGGAAGGGTTTGGAGGAGACAGAAGTGGACAGAAGATAATCTAAAGAGCCACAGATAATCTACGTAGCCACACAAGGCAACATATCGCTCATGGCCTGAATTGCCAACTCAAAACATAAACCCAGAAAAAAAGGATGTTGCTGCAATCACCACAAAGCTGTCAGAAGGGAAAATGGAACTGGAGAGGGTAGCGTGCAGTTTTAATTCACAAATTATGGCATAAGGAGGCAGGCAGGGAAAGTGAGGACCTAAACTTTGGCCTTTGCAAAAGAATAGTTTCTCATTACAGTACACCCGCACCTTGGCTTAGACAACCTTCTATTTCCAGGGATACGAGGTTCCCACATGGAAAGGTGTCCAAGATTAAGCATGATTGTACCCCTGGGAAGCAAACAGTTAAGATCGGAAAGTTCTAATTAAAGGATCTGAAAGATTCAGTAGGTGACGTTGTTGGTTAAATGCCCATCTCGTCAGTGACACTAATACGTTACCTTGACTATGTGTCCTGGGATTTGCTGCTATTTTAGACCTTTATCTGACTTTCTGACTTTCCTCTACCAAGTCTCTTTCCCAGAGATCCTATCTAGGCAGAGTAAGGGGTTTAGCTTTGAGTTAAATGAATCCCAAGAGTCTTAAGTCGTTGCTGCACAGAGCTCCCAGGGGACCCTGCCCAGTCCTTGATGTATATTTCATTTGTCCTTGGCGTCCAGAAACATGAAGGACCAGGGCATGGGGAAGATGAGACTGAAGGAGAGGAAGAAGAGGAAGCAGAGGAAGGTGTGAGCTCCAGCAGCAGCGGCTCTGACGACAGCGAAGAGGAAGAGGAGGAAGGCACCGGCAGAGGCAGACATGGGCAGAGTGGCACGAGGCAAGCCCAGCTAGAGTGGGATGATTCCACTCTCCCCTACTAGCTCCCACAGCTCTGCTGACCAACCTGTGTGCCCCTTTTGTAAAGCCCAACCCAATGTATACCCAAGCCTGTCACACTCGCCTCTGATTTCTATGACAGGTCTGGGAAGGACATCGGCTTCCCGGAATCTGCCCTCTGTGGTTTGGGTACTGCTGGTGTCCCAGCCGTAGGGCAGTTCCAAGAGCCCAGTGTCACCGTCAGTGAGGACTTCAGGATGGTTCCATTGTCCTGTAGCCCTCACTGCCCTGGGATCACCCAGAATCCTGTCACTCACCCAGTCTACAGAGTTCTGAACACATTCTTTTCTGCAGGGGAAAAGTCCACCTTTGTCACTTACCACCCCAAAGTTAGTGTTCTCAGACTCCTTGGGTTGTAACTCACTGTGTATGTACTTAACTAAACAGCCTTTCTCCACCTACACCAGCAGGTCCTCCCTAGGTTTGGTCTCCAGGTTGCTTTTTACAGGGAGGGCAATGGAATCTCATAAACCTAAGGTCTTAGAGCTGAAGAATTGAAAAGAAAGCCTTTGTTGAGGCAGAATTGAGTTTCCAGGGAAGGGTTCATAGGATACCTGTACATGGACAAACACCACACACAAACACACACATACATACACACACACACACACAGAGTTCCTAGCTTTGAGAGCCTTTTCTTTTTACTTCTTTCTAAGACTACATAAACTAGTATAAAAAAGTTCAAAACCAAAAGTTAGTTGGTCTTTGACCATAAGTAGCATGGATCCTCATCAAAGGGCTTACTGACCAGCATTCGGACCTGCCTAGGGATGCCTGGGTAAGTGGGGTGGCCCTGTCGGGGGCTATCACCAAACAGAACCTCGGGGCCCAGGAAGCATGTCACACAGGCACTGCTCGGGTGACAGCTTAAGTTTGGCTATTGTCAGGAGCCCGAGAAAGGACTATTGGGGTGACCCAGCAAGGTTCATAGTGGCTGGAAATCTGCTTTGACAGTGGGTTGATATGGTTGGACTCCCCTAGATAAGGGCAGCCTGAAGGTTGACAAGGCTGCCACCACCTAGCCTGTGGTCCTTTATCTCCTAGGTTACTGTTTTCTCTCGAGGAAATAACATCATTTTCAGATGTAAGTGGAACAAATATGGGCTCTCGCAGCCTGCAATGGAAGTTGGGAAATTTAACTGCTAGTAATTCAAAGCGTATTCGTAATAATAGCAGCTGCTTCTTTCTTCTCGTAAAAGGAGGGACGCTTTGAATAGGGGGCAAATATATCAAAACCCTAATTTCTTTTTCTTATTTTAATAAGGAAGACTTTTCCATCTCCATTCTAACATGGGCACTTCATGAGGAGAATTGTTGCTATAGTAACTGGTAGACAATCTTTTGCGGCCAAGAGAATAGCAGGCAAGAATGAAGGCTGTGGCAAGGGCCCCACAAGGCTTTGAAAACATGTTTGCTCCAAACACCTTGAGCTCCTCTTGTTCTCAATCTGTTTAGGCCATCCTCCTCATCCCACTCTTCCCCAGGCCCATCCCAAAGTGGCTCTGTCCCCGTCCACTGTCAGTTTCTCGTCACATAACTTTGGGGTTGAACTAAATATTCCCCCATGCCATTCAACAGAACATTCGGAGAGTGGCTGGGACTGATGTCGTCCAGTCCTCTGCTCAGCCCTCTGGGCAGTGAGGATCCATGCCAGGTCTCTGCCAGCTTCCAGCTGGAGAGATCTACCGCATGCTGTAGTTCCGTCTCCTGGAGCGTTTCATGCACACCTTCTCTTTCTTGAGCCTCCAAGTAACCTTGGGAAATATTTGAGAAATCTGTTAGGGGGTATGTTTCTGGGCTGAGTAAACTGAGGTTCAGAGTCAGTGTCCTGCTCAGAGTCCGTTCAGAGGTATAGACTTCCCTTTGCTCCCAGTCGAATTAACATACGTTCCTGGGTACCCAGTATGTGCTAAGCACTCTCCAGTGGGGAGGGCATGAAGCTGAAGGAGACAGGCCTTTCCCCATAGAGGACCTGAGAGTTACAGAAGACACACAAACAAGCCTGGGAATTACACAGGAGAAAGGAGAAGGAAGTGACAGAAAACACAGGGTGAACAGGGACACATTTACCAACTCAATCGGTGCCCTAATTTTTCTTTCTTGGAAGAAACTTGAGATTTTATATTCATTGCTGGGAAATAGACACATCTCTCATGAATTACCCCCAATCAAATGCCCCTTTTCTGTTAAGCACTTTCTGTACATTTACAAGGGGAAAAATCTACAGGACCAGTTAGGGCTTCCCAATCCCATTATTTAAATAAAAAGACATTCTTCAGTCAGGCATTTTAGAAGCTACTGAATTCTCCCAAAATTATGGCAGTAAAGGGAACACTTTGTATGTTTAAAACCAATCCTTTTTGAATGAGATTTTGATTGCAAATATTTAAGTCTAGGGTTTATGAGAGTGCTTTGTTCTGCTCTGACTTTTCAGTTCCAATTGGGTGGAAAGCTGTTCTCGTGCCCCGGGCTACCTCTTGTGGTTGCATTGCTCATTCGTGGTTAGGTGAACTGTTTGGAGTATTAGAAGACCTTTATGTTTTGTATGAGGTGGAGGAGGGGAAAGCAGATGGAGGTTAGGAAGCATTAGGGTAAACCAGCAAAGATGTGTCAATGCAGGAGGCATTTGGTGGCTGGACTTATTTGCAGGGAAATGGTGATAACAAGAAACGAAAGCCTTTCCCTCCTCTGGCAGTGCACAAGGTCATTCTATATGCCAACTCCAAAGCTGAGGCATCTAAATGATGCTACTGGGGCCAGAGGCATTTATCCTGTTCCCAACACTCACTTGTTATCTTGGGTAAGATCAAGGAGGGGTTGTGTCATAAAATAACCAGGTTTAGCAGGCATCCAGGTAAGTGGTAGGTAACGGCATATGCCTTCCACCAGATATTCTGGCCAAAAGTGTAAGATGTTAATCACACTGGCATTTCTCAGGCTCTGTAGGGTGGTTTTTTGAAACCCGAACTCCCAGATGATTTGGACACTCTGTGACTTCTCAGGGACAGATGAGCAGTCAAGGAGAGGCAGACTCAGTCCCAGGAGAAGCAGCTGATTGGTTTGGCCACAGACTAGTCCATTGGTTAGCTGGCCAAATGGACAACCTGAGTCTGCTATTCAGAGCTTGGAAATAGGTTGAGCCTGAAAACAGGTAGACCGCCATGCTCAGGCAACCTAAAAGACAGAGAGGATGAGAAAAAGGAGGATGAGGTTAGAAGAGACAGCACAGAGTGGGTTGCCCCACTGGAGAAAAGCCATTAAGCCCATTGAAGAAGTCTCTCCAGGAAAGCTGATTGTATTCTAACAGATTTAAACAAATACTATCAGTCTGGCCAAGGCTCCAAGTCACACAGAAGCAAAATCTGTGATTTCTGTGAGAACTTTCTTCAATTAGCCATCCGTCTGCCACGCTTAGTTTAGACCATGGGTTCTCAGGTTATCAAGGGAGTCTTCCAGGGACCCGGAGTCTCTATGAAGGCGACCTCTGCTAGTGCCCCCTTCCCATGCATCAGAGATCAACAGCTTATGTCTGGAAAGATCCAGAAAGGAGAGACTTAGGGCAGTAAGCATTTGTTCTCTCTGTTGCTCCTGTTGAGTCCCACCTTATGGCATGAAAGAAGCCACTGGCAATACCCAAACAATGAGACTTTCCAATTCATTTCTCCATCAGCTTCCCTGGAAAGTTGATTTATGAAAAAAAAAAAGAGGAAATTTGAACTCATTGAATTCAATTCATGTCATAAAGCTTTTACTCTCTTTATTTCTCATTTCCCACACAAAACTTAGCCTGCAAGACATTGAGAAAACTAGCCACCAGGTAAATCCATGTGAGTACCCACAATACACAGGAAGTAGCCCTCCATTTCCCAGGAGAAAAACTATACCAGCGTGCCTAGTGGACGGTGCCTTGAATTGAACAGCTGAAAAACACTAGGCTCTTCCTGAAAACTCTCTGAGAAGTTCACGGAATATTGGAGAAAAAATAAATAAATAAATAAATAAATAAATAAATAAATAAATATGCGAACCAACAGAAATCCCACTTGTTATTTTTGAACTGATCAAATCAGACAAATATCCCCAAGGGTCGGATGCCTTGGACCCAGGGAACTGGCTAATCACTGAGCACTGACTATCTCCTCTGCTGAAGCAGGAGCTAACTCCCCAGGCTCAGCACCTTCCCAGCAGGGCTCAGTCCATAATGATTTCCAAGCAGAAGTGTTCATTATCTGGGACTGATTTTCATTTCAGCCCTGTTCATGTCTTCGCTCTAAAAATGATCCTAAAGACCTGTGGCTGTTTGAATCAATAGCAACACAATCAGCAGAAAGCCCTACCCGGCACACTGCAAAATGAACCGTCTTCTTGCCTCCGTGACTCGATATTAGCAGCAAAGAAAGGAGTGCTTTTTCTTAATCATCTCCCCCATTTAAATTAATCAGATTGGCTTTGCAAAATAAATAAATAAATATAAATAAAAATGGGAGGGAACAAATCTAATTCTTTAGAAGAATTTGCCAGTGAATTGTAGAAGATGTTCACATAACATGTAGCCTCTGGGGTTTCCCAGACTCTCCTGCAATGTGCTCAGGCAGTTGTGATGGCGCAGGCGTCTCCATCTGGGCCAGACATTTATCGAGGCTGACAAGCCAAAGCCCTTGGCACGGTTTAATTTTCATGTAACCGCTTTCCGTTGTCCAGCTGCAGGGAGAGGAAATGAGCAATGCCAGCTTAGAAGTCAACTCCAGCACCCTCGTTTGACTGTCTTTATTTGTTCTGCGTTAGCTTCCTTCCAACACTGGTGGAAAGGGAGAGTTGGTTTTAGAGGAGCTAGGGCGTAGGACCAAGCTTGACTTTGTCCCATGGTAACAAAGGACACAGAAAGGACCTCCACAAGCTTCTCAGAGAACAGTCAGATGGCTGCTGTGTCAGTCTGTTAGCCGATGGGAGTCTCTGTGGTTGTGTTCAGCCAATTCAGCAAGTCCTCTCTGAGCACCCGTGAGGGCTAGACTCAAAGTTGGGGCATGGGGAAGAGAGATTAAATGAAACAGAGATTTGCTTGTGAGGATCCCCGGTCTTGTATGCCAGAGGCGTCCACAAGCAATTAGGATGGTCAGGGGTAGAATATAATTGCTTTGCAGTCACCTGCTTGAAGTTAGATGGCAGGAAAGATCCTAGGGGTGCTGAAGGGCCTCTATGAAAAGACAGAGAAGATCTTTAGGGAAGTGAGCACTGTGCTCTGCAATGCTCCTTCATTATCAGGGTTTAGATCGCTTATAGAAGAAAGCCTTTCCCTCCATGCCCAAATAATATGACTGATGGCTGAGATTTGGTAAAACTAAGACAGAGGACGTCCTTACGTAGGAGCCGCAGCCAGGCAGAGCGGACAGGTTATGAACAGGGCGGGGGGGGGGGGGGGGGGTGTAAGAGGGTGGGAGGCTGACAGCCAAAGCCAGCCTGATGTGAGCATCCTCACATGAAGGCCGGAGCTCTGAAGGCTCCGCGGAGGTTTGCTCACCATGTTGCCCAGGTCCAGTCCTCTGGCTGTGTGATTTGCAAGGTGAGGACAGCAGCCATGGAACTGGGAAGGCAAACTCCCCAGGTGAGGTTCAGCAAACTGTGTTCTCTAGTGTGCTGCTCAGGTAGTCCAGGGGTCGAGAACCGCTGCTGTGGAGGAAGAGACCAGCGTCTGCTAGCATTGGGAGGGACTGCTAACAATCGGAGAAAATAACAAGCTCCTACTACAGTCCGAGAGGAAAACAGAGCAGGGCCCCAATTCACACCCCTGGAGCAATAATTTCAAAGAACCGAGTCCCAATTCCAATTTCTCTCCTCTGCCTGGGTGTGAGGCGATCCCTGCCCACATGCCCCTTCTACAGTAAGGAGGGACACTGCCTAGGAGGGCTGTACTGAATTCACCCAGCCCCAGGGAGGCCACCTACCCAGCTTGCCCAGTTCCTGGCCTATAAAGCCTGTTTTGTGTGGAAGCAAAGAGGCTGCAGGGAGGAGCCCAGGCCACTAGGAGGCCACTTTGCTCTCTGCGTGCATCCCGGAGAACAGGGTCCTTCAAGGACACTCCCAGGTTGCTACATCACTATTCATTTGTAATGAGACTGGGGGAATGCAGTCACAAAGCAAACACTAAATTGGATGGGGAAAGGATTGCTTCTCTTGACAGGACAGTAAGCCATGTTACTAAAAATAGAAAAAAAACCTAACAGCCAAACCAGCAGCTTTATCTACAATGGGAATCTCATTCCTGTAGTCTAGGTAAGCACCAGGCCCCAACCATTGCCCTTTGCTTGAATGACCAGATACCTGGGCCTGATTTCCAGCATAAGATCTATGGTACAAGCACCATAAACCCTCAGCTGGAACTCCTTACTGTTTTACCAGTTACCGTGCCTGTGACCTAAGTCTACATATCGAAATCTCAGGGTCAAGGTCAGAGGTGAGGGCACATAAGCCAAGAGACCCCATTGTGCTCAGAAACGTCCCTCCTCACAGATGCTTCCCTGAGCCCCCTAAGGACTCCAAAAGGAGCCTGAGACTACACATCTTTAAAAAGTTAGAATCTACCCTTTTCATTAAGTAGAAGAAATGGGAGCGGAGGAAAAAAATGTAGGACATGCCTGTTATTTACCTGTGGGAAGCAAGAGAAAACCAAGTAGAGGAAATTTTCTTTTACAGCCTGGCCTCTCAGAGTGAAATCCCCGCTGACAACACTTCTGTCCCGACAGTTAAGGCAATTTTGTGTTTCCCTTACACACCAGCCATTTGCGACGAAGGCCTCGGAAGGGACAGAACAGAAAGAGATGGAAAGTATTCCTGGAAGCAGGATGCTCATTGGCAGGTTTGTTCAGGCAGGGCAAGGAGACAGTTCGCCCTTGGAGCAGGAGATCAGATCCAGCCAGGGTATTGGGGGAAAGGAGAGACCACCCAGGAAGGAGACAGGTGGTGCAGTCAACAAGCAGAATATATGAACCGATAGTTCTGAGCTAGTGACATGGTAAGCCTGAGGTAGCACCACCCCCAAGAGTCCCAGTCTACCTTCCCAGAATACCCTAGAAAACAAGACCTATGGAATCAGTATAGACCCTCCCTACGTTTCCTACCTCCACTTGCCTCTTCCCTAAGCAAGAAAAAAATAACTGATGTGTCCCAGGACCCTGGTCCTGCACTGAGGATGTAACCAACCAATCATGTGCTACATCATGGGCTCAACAGATATTGAATCAAATAGAGTCCCAGAGATCATCTGGCCTCAGAGTAGGAGTATGGTTTGAAGTTAAGATGCCTGTTGGAGAAAGACTCCTCCAGCCCAGTTTTAGTGTTATCAGTTGTCGTTTGCAAAGTCAAGAGTGGGAGAAGAAGAGAAGGGGGAAGGACAGGTGACAGCCGACAGGAAGGGAATTCATTGGACCTGTTGAAGTATCCCCCCAAAGCCAGGAGCAAGCATAGCTAGGTCTTGATGAGCCCCATTTGTTCTACCCCATGGATCATGGGACTGAGGAAATGGAGCCTTCAATTTGTTAATAAGCCTCTGATCAGCTATGCCGTGGCAGAATTCATCACTGTGAAGCTCAAGTCCCGAGAGTCTAACGAGAAGAGGGCAGCAGACAGGGGAGGCTCCAGCATGCAGGTGGTGTGTATTAATCCCAGGAACAAAATCGTGTTGGCTTTAATGTCTGTTTGCTTTTATCTGGGAATGAAAACGCACCTCTGTTACCTGGACCTTTTATACTGAGCATTTCGGGAATAGACATGGCAAGCAAACACATAACTATTGAGGGTTCTTTTCCCCAGCAGAACGAGCTGTCAGAAGACGAAGCAAAGAGGTAATATCTATCTGCAAAGGCAGAGAATCAGCCCGCGGATTTTAGGTCAAGACTCAAGCACTCCTGTGGGAAAGGGATGAGGGTGGACAAGAAGGTAGCCTCTGCCCTCTGGAAGGATTCCTGGGGCAGGGGTTAAGGGAGTTCAGTGGTATCCATGAGTCACATAGCCTAGTAAAATGCATGCATTCACCATGAGGCAAAAGCGCATCAGTTCTGGCCATCAGGGAATGCTGGGGTGTGACTCTCACCACTATGCAATCTCCATGATACAGCCTGGAGGAAATATTGATGGCACTCTCACAGGAATACTCCCGAGGGTGGAAACAGAGCATAAGTTTTGGGGAAAGGAAGTTAGTTATGGCACCCAAGTAAATTGCTTGTAACGGAAGGGAAGAAATGTTGACCGAGAAGGCGATGGAGTTGGAGAGGGAACAAGTTGATTAGGAGCGATAGAAGGGGGAGCAACCAAGAAGCGAGGGTACTGCTCTGTGCTTACACTTACATTCATGTGTCAAAGGAATCATGGGTAAGTGTAACCATGTAACCACAGAGGCAGTCACTGCAATGGTTTTACAAGTCAGAGCCCCTTGAAGTGGATGACAGATCAGTCTGCCTGCCAGGTTGCTGTATGATCTGCTTCTGAGAAAGAGCAGTTGGTGCTCTAAGCTGGATGGGCATGGCTGGGCGTTGGAGCAAACTAGGTGGAGAATAGAAAGAAGAAAGCTTATATAGATGCTGGCTGTACCCAAGGAAACCTATAGTTACTAGAGCAGAGTTTGTTATGTTATTGCGTGGGCATTGTAATGTATGTAAGGAGGCGTCGTAATGATACGATGGGCCATTAGTTTAAGGAATTAGAATATTAAGTATAAGATACCAGACATAACTAGATGAAGGGATACTGATAATATATATGTATGTACATATATGCATATCTATAAGATGGAAATGAGATTTATAAAGAGAGGTCATTAGTCCCAACAGATTTTAATCCTCCAGAAGCCTTAGGTTATTCTTATTGTTATTTGCTTTTAGCTCTCAAATCCCTGGAAAAAGCACCTGGAACACAGCAGGAGTCGTAAACATTTGGAAGTGAAGCACGTAGCTTGTCCCTACTTGGTGAAGACAGATCACAAAACCCCATATTGACTGAGCCATACAGAAGCAGGTTGACCACACACTTCTCCTAGCTTACAGACGCCTTTGTGAATTCCCATTAGTCCACGCAGTACTCAGACAGCTACAGACACTGGGTCTGGATCTCTGGCAGTGAACAGTGACAGTGGCTTACACACATTTAGAACTATCTGAATAATACCTGCAATGCTGTTTCTGCAGGATAGAGTCTGCCCACCCTACCATTGTCTCTGCCTTTCCCTATGGACTTGATAGGTACTATTGAATCTGCCTTCTTCAGTCATGATGTTGGGATGAAATATAAAGATTCTGGGTATAGTCAATCTCAGGCCCTTCCCTCCTCCCATCTCTGGAGATGATGTCACCATTTAAAAACGTTGTGTGAGAAGCCTGTTTGTTTGAGCCTGTTGAGCCTGTTCCTCAACCTCAGTGATGGGAAAGGCCTGAGACAGGCTGCTTGCTCTACTGGAGCCTCTCTGGGGTCCACCCTGCAGAGAGACAGAGCACCCTCATTTATGGATCTCCCCTTCCACCCACTCCTGACTGGGCAGTGGCCATTAGGCCTGTGCAGCTGGTGTGTCTATAGCCAGAGCCAGCTTCACCTGGGGATTATCCAGCGTGTTCTTGGCACACATGTTCTGAGCCACTTGAGCTGCCTCCAAGAATGAATCTTCTTAGTCTACAAATGTATTTATTTGGTAACTATGCTACTGTGTGTGTATGAGTCTGATACAATGCAAAAGCTTTGAAATGTCTTATTAAAAGGACTTGTGAGTTTATAGAAAATTGAATCTAACTTCAGAACAGCGCGTTATATTGTCGGTCAATAAGGTTGACCAGCCACAGGGGACCCAAGGAAAACCTTACCCTCCCACTCCTTTCCTTGGTCCCTTCTCCCTGCCTAATTGCCCTACCAGAGTCTAACTGATGCAGAGTGAAGGATGCTGAGAGTGTACATGTACATAAAGATTTAATAGAAAAATAAACTCTGGGAGAATCAGTTGAGTTTCTTCCCATGGCTGTGATCTTATCATGCCCGAATCCCAAACTCTAAATTTCTAACAGTTTCGATTCTTGCAGTTTCTGAGTAATTTGTTAAATGCCTATTCAACACAGACAGATATTTATTTTCAGCCTTGGCTTGTAAATGCCTACAAACTGATTCATGTTGGTGGTCGTTATGACACTTCTGTGAATTGGTGAATAAATATGATTTTAGAATTTCACAGTAAAGATGACTTCCGAGGGTTTCATTGTCCAGACATGCAGTGGGACGAGAGGCTGAAAACTGCTCTGACTGGATCAGCATCACTGGGGCTCTGACCTGGATCCACGTGGGTGAGAGCGACCTGGTGAATGTGACAATGGTTGACCCCATACGACTGACTTCTGAGCCCCCTGTGATATGAGACCTGAGCCTG